AGGGGGGGGTGGAGACTTGAAATATTCAAAAGCTTCGATCCTCCCATCAACAAAAGCATTGCCGGGAAGCGAAGCCCGTGGGGATCGATGTTGGGGTTTTGACTGCTGCGAGAGAGAAAGAGTGCGTGCCTCTTACACCTGCCCTTAACCCTCTCCTTGGGGGAAATAGAGGTCAGTCCTCTCAGCACAGTACGACATTTCGACAAAGAAACACCAAAACAAAACAACAACAACAACAACAAAAGAAAACTGACATAAGATAACAGCTGCCCTGTGAGAGAATAAAAGACTGATTTGTTTTGATTTGTTTTTTTAATTTTTATTTTGTTTTGTTACGAAGGGTTATTGTGTTTGTTTTTTAAAGCAGGTGCTTACACACCTCCATCGTAAAAACATCAATTTAGATCCTATAGGGAGACGAGGAAATTGGATTTCAAATTTCGGAATCACTCTATTTTGAAATGATTATACTGGGAAAAAAATAGTTTCTCCAAACTGCTGCTGTGATGTGAAGAAAAAAAAGCGCTTTATCAGCTTACGATAGAGTAGTGCTGTGCGATTTGGAAGAAACGGAACTTCATCGATGCTTCGAAGCGTAAAGTAATCATTATTCGTGTTATATTATTCGAATATCATGTGCGAATAGGTGAGTTTTTCTCCTTATCTGAAGAGGTATGTTTTAAAACTCTCGTTGGCTTCACTTATCACTCTGTCTCGGAATCATCAAGTATAAAGTATTTCCTCAATGAGTTTAGATCTCGATAAAATATACTCCAATTTTACGACGGGTTGAAACAAAGGAGAAGAAAATGAATAGTCCCTAAAAATCATGCGGCATTCGAATGGCTCTGCCTTTCTTCGAATTGCCGTGAATAGTTGAAAAAATAGTGAATATCGAATAGTAGAATCGAATGGGCACGGCTGTACACACCCCAGCACAGACGCCGGAGTCTGAAGGAGAAAACAAGGGAAGCAAAGAGTTCAAAGTAAGTTAAGAGTTCTGCTCGCAAAAAGCTCAGGTACTTTGCGAGAATATTGATCAGAAATGTTGTCTTGTAACGTCCACAGCTCCAGACTGCCACAGGCCCACAGAGCTACTCTGCCGTACACTGACAAAACACCTTTTTTCTTATTCACAGCAGTTTCGAGAAATCACCGATTTTCGGTTTTCTGATAATATTTGGGGAGTATTGGGAACGACATTCTCTTCACAGTGTGAGATCAACCGTTGATGTATGGTCAAAATACGAGTTTAGATAATTACAAGAAAACAGAAAATCGTTGCTTTCTCGAAACTGCAGTGAATAAGAAAAAGACGTTTTGTCAGTGTACGGCAGTGCTGTATTGAACGTCCGGGGTTTTTCCTTCTACAATAATAAAGAGGGGAAACATGTTCGGTACGTGTAATAAGAGGA